AGAAAGAAGGAATAAACTTCAATGAGATATTTTCTTCGGTAGTATGACTTACTACAATCAAGGTAGTCTTGGCAATGCGTGCTAAATTTGATCTTCACTTAGAGCAGTTAGATGTGAAAACTGCATTTCTTCATGGAGAACTTGAAGAAGAAATTTGTATGCTCCAACCAGAGGGTTTTGCTGAAATAAGCAAGGAGAACTTGGTTTGTAGGTTGAACAAATCTTTATACGATCTCAAACAGACGCCGAGGTATTGGTACAAAAGATTTGATTCCTTTATAATTAGTCTTGGGTACAACAGACTCAATTCAGACCATTGTACGTATTACAAGAGGTTTGAGGAAAATGATGTTTTCATCATTTTATTGTTGTACGTGGATGATATGTTGGTGAAAGGCCCCAACAAAGATCGAGTCCAAGAATTGAAGGCATAGTTGGCTAGGAAGTTTGGTTTGAAGGATTTGGGACCAGCAAATAAGATTCTAGGGATGCAAATTTACCAAGATAGAAATAAGAGGAAGATTTGGCTTTCTCAAAAGAATTATTTGAAGAAGATCTTGCGACGCTTCAACATGCAAGATTGTAAGCCAATTTCCACCCCACTTCCTATTAACTTCAAATTATCCTCAAGTATGTCTCCTAGCAATGAAGCAGAGAGGATGGAGATGTCTCGAGTACCGTATGCATCAGCAGTGGGAAGTTTAATGTTTGCCATGATATGTACAAGACCAGACATTGCACAAGTAGTGAGAGCAGTTAGTCGATACATGGCAAATCCTGGTAGAGAGCATTGTAGAGAGCATTGAAATACTATTAAGAGGATCTTGAGATACATCAAGGGTACCTCAGATGCTGTATTATATTATGGAGGATTAGAATTTACTATCAGAGGTTATTTTAATTCAGATTTTGCTGGTGACCTTGAGAAAAGAAAGTTTACTATAGACTATGTGTTTATAATTGTAGGAGGAGACTTCAGACTGTTGTCGTGTTGTCCACAACAGAAGCTGAGTACATGGCAGCTACACAAGCTTGTAAAGAAGCAATATGGATGAAGAAACTTATGGAGGAACTCGGGCACAAGCAAGAGAATATTCTTTTGTATTGTGATAGGCAAATTGCCTTGCATATTGCAAGGAATTCAGCGTGTCA